CCAACAACAAACCAACCACAGGCTAACCCCCAATTCCTCCCCCGCCCCCCCCTTCCCTTTTCCCTCTCTCTTCTGGGGAAATTCCAACCCTGCAAAGTCCACACACTAAGCTTGGAAAGAAATTACTTTATTTCCCATTCTTATTTTTGCCAGGTAAGACCCATTTTGGTGCTAACAGCCTTCAGTGCTTTACCTCCCCAGGGCAGTCTGGCGCCATTCCATTGTCTCCTTAGCACAAGGAGCCTGACATCGCTCACAGTAAAAGACAATCCAATAATATAAGGATGCACACAGTTCTCATAATCAATTTGGACCTCGTAACATAGGAAATATGATTGCCCAAGGTTTATCATAATGTGTTTTAGGAGCTTCTGGACAGTATAAGATCACAATAAAATGTGACAAATAATACTGAGGAAATTTTTAGCAGGAATTATTGAAAGGAAATTTTACTCTTTGATATAAAGTAGGTATATTATGGTATTTTCTTCCTATCACAGGCAGATCTCTAGAAAGAAGTATTAAATACCAGCTAGCTGGACTCTACTACCACAAGCTTTATATTTTAGGAGCTCTGAGTGAATTTAAATATTTACTATATTTAAATCATTGTCTAAGGCAAAACAAACAGCTCAGTATCTCAAGAGTCACAGTCATCCTTTACTAATTTGACCCCAACTCAGACATATGAGGAAGTTTACTTAAGGAAATTTGCACATGATCTTGGCAAACGTTAAACCACATCCTGCAGTAAACTGTATTTCCATTTTCTGACATATTATAAATTTCATGAAGCTTTCTTTTAATTAGAGTACAAAAGGTCTAAAAAAAATAAAACACTGTATGACTAACGTAGCCCAGAAAGTAGCTTCAAAGTTATTTACTTTCATTTAAAATATTTATTTTTGTGTTTTCCTAGAATTTGCTTTAAAATGCAGCAGATTTATTAACTGCCTTGCATGCTACTGCCACACAAAAGGCCGATAATGGAATCTGAAGGTTTCAGCTACCTATGGTGTTCGGAAGCAGATTTGGGATTATGCAATAAGGTGTTCCAAAGTCAGTGTTCCCATTTATTTTTATTACGGCCAAGCCCTCCTTTGTTTCCGTTTGAAAAAAAATTTAACAGTGATAACATTCAAACTGTTCATTTTAGCTCAGACAGGATAACAAACAATCTGCAGGTATAAATTGGTTAACTCCTTTGGGTCCTCCAGTTTTAGGCTGCCTACAAAATTCATGCACTGATTTATTCTAAAGTTCACTAACTAAAAGCAATCTTCAACACTGAAAAAAAATATTTTACTCACTTTCAGGGCATCCCCTTCATTGCCCTCCATTACTTCCAGAATAAGTGCAGCTAGTATGTTAAATCCTTGACAATAGCCAACAGATTTATTCCACCTGGCATAAGCCAGCAAAACACGTTTTAATACCACTCGATCTTGCTCTGCCTCCTGGCCACAGTAGGAACTGCAACCAGTTCGGTGAAGGTCCTTTAAAGAAAAAAAAAAAAAAAAAGACAAGAAAAGACAGAAAAGATGTGCATTTTCCTTCGCCCTTTAGTTCTCCCACCTGTCCCAGTTTTCCTTCCACCTCCACCCTCCCAGTACATACTCCCAGAGTTGATGACAATGTTTCTTTTTTAATCTGTAAACCTTTAGCTTACTGAAGAGAAATAGGTTCAGCAAGCTCTTAAGTAAACAAGTTACCTAAAAGATGCCCATATGAAGTTGCCGCAGAAGGTATTAACAGGTATCTAGATTTCAAAGAGGCAAGACATAACAGCTGCTTAATTGAACAAAAAAGAACAACTGTTCTTATCTAAGTATAAAAGAACTACGAGGCAACTAAGTTTTCCAAACATAAAAAACCAGAAACAGTGTCCTTGAGATTTAAGCAATTTACAAGTGAAAGGTAAAACATGTACTACAATGTTTAATATTTCATGAGTAATATCTATAAGCTTAAATTACCAAGTACAGATGACAATTGTAATAATCAGGAACACAAAGTATTTTGCTCTGCGTACTCTAATTAAGGTGAATATAGAACACATGTCTCCTAAACAGAATACCTCCTAAATAGGTAAATAGACCAATATTTAAGTCACCACAGCAATACAAATCTATTAAGCCCTTCCCTAAAACTGCCCACTGCTTTAAATATTAAACATTAATTAGCCGAGAAATATACATAGACAAAGGTGGTTTCACTCCTGCAAAATAACGGAAAAATGCTCAATTGCTATATTATAAAACATACTTTTTAATCCCAGCAAATATTTGTGTTCATTTATAGAGAAGAAAAAAACCCACTTATGTTCCTTTGTCTCCATTAAACTCCAGTATTTCTTTTAAAATAAAAAAGTAGAAATTGAGCATAACAAAAAAATCAGTAATAGCAATTTTTTTCCCAGCTAACACTAACCAGACCAGTGCAGGAGGAGGACAAAAAAAGCCGAAGAAATAGTTTTGGTGGGCCAAAGGGAATTAAGGTGTAGTTTTTGCCAAAGTAGTTGCAGAGAACAAAATAAATCCAAATTCCATCTATTAAAAAAAAAATCCTCACTTTTCATTAAAAAATTAAAATAAACTAAAAAATTAGCTGGCTACCTTTACTATCTGGATGCCCATAGAGTCATCATCAGGATTACTTCTTTCATTGAATGTGAAACGCATGGTTTTATCCCAGTCAATGGCTATACTGTGTAAGTACTGATCAGCTAGGGTCAGCCAAACCTAGAAATACACAAAGCAAGTCAACAAAATGAATTATTTCTCAGATAAAATATTAACAGTTTTCATATATACCGTTAGATGAACCTTGTCAGCCTCACTCGTATGTGATCTGCTGTTAGACATGAAATATACAGAACAGAACTATATCTAAAACAATTTTTGCACAATTGAAGTAATACTTTGCTCCTTACAACAGAAACGAAGGAAAAAGTTAGCATTAAGTGTCCAGATCCGTGAACTGCTTACAAAGATGCAAGTCCATTGTCAGAAACTGAATCTACAGGGGCCCTCCAAGATAGAAGCACATCTCCTGCAAGGACCCTCCTTGTCAGTTCAACCCTTCTAACCTCATAACCAGCATGGAGTTTTATACAAAGGTAACACTGCTGCAGGCTTTCCTCAAACTCAGCCATGGATCCATCTCCCGGAAACCCCACGAAAGAAATCTAGTGGTGCTTCTCTTTACCAGAGGTCTCTTCTGATGAACTTTGCAGAAGAAATAGCGTCTAGTATTAACCATTTGGGATTGATCTGAAAGCATCGCTTGGATCAGAGTAACTCACTCTTACAAGAGGGCTTCCTAAACTGTTGATGCTACAGAAATTTCTGAAAACAAACATTTTGACTACTTTTAAAGCCTAATAATTACTAGAACAGATTTATGCACGTGTATTTAAGACAAAGGCTGGACCTTTATTAAACATTTGAAAAGTTCCTGAACCATGAAAGACACATGACAGATCATACAATGACAACAAGTAACAATAAAGAATCTTTCTCTTCAGGAAACTGAAAGAAATCATGAAAGCAAATCGGTCGAGTTTCATATCAGCCGTTAACTCACTCAAGTGAGAAAAGCAATTCAGACACTTCCCACAGATTTAAACACTTAAGATAGTTGTATGATGAAGGAATTTATAGACAGCTCCCAGAATCTCATGTTTTCTGCATTTAAATGTCCCTTCCCACACTTTTGCAAAGCCACCCATGTGG